GCGCGCCGTCCACTCACCTGCGCCGGGGTCACCAAGGCCGCCATCGGGCCGCGGGGAGGCTGGGGCCGTGCGAGGGAGAGGGCTGGGTCGGGGCTCAGCTGACCCTCCCGCGGTCACACAGGCGCACGGGTCTCCTCCTTGCGGTCCTCCCCGCGCGGTCCCAACGGCCGAGCTAGAACTCACCGACCACAGACAACCGCCCCGACGCCAACAAACGCCCACCCAACGGCGCCGGAAGCCCCACCCCGACAGAACCGTCCGCGACGCCCCTTTCCTGTGACGTCACCGTCCGGCTGGCACCGCCTTCCCGTGCAGCACAGCCTTCTGGGTAATGTAGGTTTTCTCTGTATCTGTCCAGGAGAGGGAGTCTCTGCCTCTTTAGGACCTCGGAGCCCAAAGACGTGGACTCTGACACTGGAAAAGAGACTGCAAAGGCTCTAATGAAGGCGAGGCATCGGATGTTCTAAAGGGGACGCACCCAGATTTCCCGGTTGTGTCTTCGGTATCTTGTATTTAAGATGCTCCTAACCGAGCAAGTGGACACATTGTACTGTAAACTTTTGAAGCTTCATATTTTGCTGTCCTCACAATTATGTTATGAGCACCCCGCCCAGGTGAGCTAGTATACCAGTGTTATAAGGCTGGCCCCTGACACAAGTTCCCCTTCGTGTCCTCCCCTGTGACCTAGTGACATCTCAATGCACCAATGAAATCCACTCATGACATTTGCCTGCATACTCCCCTGGCGCCCAATAATGGCACTTGTCTCGGGGTCTCACTCTCTCTCTCCCTCCGGGATCTGGTCCTGCTTGGTTGAAGCCTCCTTACATATCATGATATCCTTCAGATATAGTATACCTTAAGTCATAGGTGTCAACTAATGAATTCCTTGTTACTCTTCAGAGACATGCAGACTGAAGCTTTACAATAATTGCCTAAGTTTCATTATGTTTGCTCAGGGTCAGGTGAGAAATGACTTCACACATGGCCATTACTGGGATGTTGGGGAAGAAGAGGTTAAATGTGCCTGAAACAGATGGATAATAGAAAAATTTTGCTTCCTATAAATTTTTAAATAAATTTCTGAAGCCCTGAAAACTTTGTGTTCAATATATAGAATACATTTATTTTATGAATAAAGAGAGAGCTTTGATATAAATTATAATTTCAAGCTTATGTTATTATCCAAGTATCTGTATATTTTTTTCTGTCCTTTCTCTTTTTTGAACATATATTCCCTTTAAGGGAGACATTACATTGTAGATTTCATTCAGCAAACAGGAACCAAAGAAAAATCAGAATGAGCACAGTGTGGTGCCACTCAGTCACCAAGTGCATGCTTTCAGCAGCTGGCAACCAGCAAGTCTTACCGTATTACTCTTCAACGTTACATAGATCAAATCTTCAGAGATAATTGTGTAGGCCTCCATACGTGCAGTCAAGGGACAAGAAAGAATATAGGTCAGCCAGGAACATGACGGGGAAATGGATGATGGCTGTCAGGAGACTCAGAAGGAAGTAGATATTGTTTCCCACACAAAAAAACTCTTCCCTACATTGAAATCATCTCAGTGTTTGTGTTGCAAGCCCAGCACGCCCAACTACTTTTTCCATATATTATTTCTGAATCAATTTCCTGAAGCACATACTGCTATGGTCTCGACATTTCTGTCCACCTCAGTTCATTTGTTCAAAACCTAATGCCTAATGTCATGGCATTAGAGATAAGACACCTGGTAGGTGGTTAGGTCAGGAGGGGTCTATCATCTTAAATAGAATTAGCACCCTTATAAAAGAGCCCCCAGATTGTTTCCTTCCCTTTCTGACATGTGATGACATAGAAGAAGGACCTTTCCTATGAACCAGGAAGTGGGCTCTCACCAGACAGTGAAACTGTGGGCACCTTGAGTTTGGACTTCCAGCTTCCAGAACTGTGAGAAGTAAATGTCTACTGTTTATAAGCCAATGAACCTATGATATTTTCTTCTAGCAGTTTGTATAACTAAAACAGATAAAATTAATATTAAAATATGGGACTTATCTGAAAAGAAGAGCCACTAATCAAATGTTTTGCAATTACGACAGAGGCTGCCACGATCACAGTCTGAGCACGTGTGCAATGGGGGCATCGTATCCCCGAGATAAATGTTTGCTTATTGTCTGACGATGAGGTCGGTGCTCCTATTAATTATCTTGAGAATTACCAAATAGAGTGAGGGGAACAAGCTATGGCCTCCCTTTTCTGTACAAACTGTTTTTTGAGGTAAATGAACAGAAAATTATTGAAAATTCTTTATAGAGGATTTCTAGTTTATAAAAGCAGAAATAGCCATCGAAGTAGGCTGCAAATGTTTCAACAGCTTTTGAAATAATCAACTACCCAATGATCGTCAGCGCATGCTCACGCAGTAGACTAGTAACACATGGCAGATTGTACTGGAGAGAAATACTAATAACATTGGAACCCAACTGCAAAAGAGAGACGCCAGACCTGGAGGGCACTGATGACAGACACCACCCGGGGTCCTGCCTGGCTCAGTCGCTCTTCGGAGCACAGCCCATCCCCCACCGCCCTGCTACATGGACAGTGGGGGCGAGCACCTCAACCAGGCTGGGCCAGTCAGCCTCTCTCTTGTGGATTCTAGAACAAGAACCTCAGACCGAGGACAGACTGTGCCGGGCACTGGGGTGAAGGTTGTGTTCAGAAGGCATGTTTCCTGTCTGACGTCACCGGTTGCAGAACCAGGAAGAGCAGGCAGAAGGAGACCAGAACACAGCGCACAGCAGGGCAGTGGGTAGAGGTGGGAGGCCTGAGAGGCTGTGCTTACCAGCCAGGAATGAGCAAAAGATTGATCAAGGAGGAAGCCTTGGGTTGCCCACATGGCAGTTACCAAACAAGACTAGGAGTTCAGAGTTCTCCATCACGAGCCCCTACAGTGTCCTCTGGGCCAGGTCCAGATGCCCTTATGTCTCCTAGGTGAAGACACAGTCACATCATTTAAGGTCACCAATGTCTTGAGAGACAGAGGTGGCCATTTGGCCTTGGGTTTTTACTATTACTCACTCACTGGGAAAGGTGGAGGGAGCCCTGGTCCTGAATCGCTGAGGCTTCCTGAGGGATGGGTTCTGTGCTGGCCTGGAGGACTAGGGCCATGTGGCCTGTACCGTGAATGGAATTGTGGCTGATAGAGGTCTCTGATTTGAGAAACCATTTCCGAGTCAATTCAAAATATAACAGCATGTGAAGCAATGCAATCAAATGCCATGGTCAAAAACACCTGGTATCCAAACAGAATTAGCCAGTAAGGAGACAGGAATTTAATACATAATTAACAGCAAAAGAAACCAACTGAACAGAAACACACAAGAATTATCAGACAATGACATCAAAAGAGCTTTTATAAATATCCAACATTTGTTCCTGCAAGTCTACAGAAGAAAGATGTTCATGAAGGTTATCCACTTACCTTCATCTAAGCAAGCAACAGTTTAAGTTGTCAACTGTCCCCAACTTTTTCTGTACAAACACAGTATCCATGAACAATCCCAGCAGTCTCTTGGAGAAAATCAATAAACTTATGCTAAATTATTATGTAATGCCAAGAAGTTAGAATAGATTAAATGCTTCTTTTTTAAAAACCAATATGAAAATATTTCTCTTCTTTTTAAAAAAAATTTGCCATATATCTACACTAATTGTAGAACAATGGTAAAGTATAGAGAACCTGGATATATCCAAACCCTAATAATGCCAGTTTTTCTCCAATAAAGTTTCCAAAGGCATTTAAAGGGAAAAGGAGAACAGTTTCAACAAATTGTCCTGAAAAATCATATGGTGAGGCTTATGTGAAAAATAAAATAAAAATTTAAAGCCTCCCCTCAAATCATTTAATGATTAATTTGAAATGGATCCTACACAGTTCTTAATGTCACAGAGAAAACACAGTATAAAAGATAACACAGGAAAAATGCTCTTTGTCCTTGGATCAGGGAAATAATTATTTAAAAAACAGAAAGATCATCAACCAAGGAAAATAAATCATCTGAAGTTAATCAACATTAAAACTTCGCAGTTCAAGAGACAGTTAAGAAAGTGGAAACTCAAGTCACAACCTGGGGAAAGATATTTGCAAGAAATATACCTGATAAATGACTGTAATTCTTAATATATAAATAGTTCTTATAACAATAACAAAAAATTACACTTTAAAATGTTCAGAAAAGCTTGGAAGGTATATATCACAGAAGAAGTATAAATGGTAAATAAGAAAATGAAAATGTGCTTCTTGTCATTACTCGCCATCCTAAACACAATTTAAAGCCACAGTGAGGGAGTACCACACACCATTGGAACAACTAAAATTCAAATACTAAATTGATGAAGATGTAAAACAGCCACAGCTCTCCTGTATTTCTTGAGGGAATACTAATTGATAAATAACTTTAGAAATACTGTGCTACTCTCTTTAATGCTATCCATACACACACCCATGATTTAGTAATCTCACTTGCAGGGTCTATCCATACGAAAGATGAAATCATACGATTCAGAAATACTTGGGGGAAATTATTCACGGTAATAACAGCTTCATTCACAAGAGCGAAAAAGCAATATAATGTTTGTGATTTTACTTTTTTTCCCCTGTTATGGGTTAAAATACCTAAACCAATCTCAAGAGAGTGGCTCATGCTAAGATCCAAGTCCACATGCTGAAACCTACCTCAATTTCTATTTCTTATAAACATCTGGCTCTTTCAGGAGTGGAAACCCAAGGCCAGCCAATCAGAATATGCCTGCTTAGCTTTATTTTTTCATAGCCCAAGTCCAAACTTCCCTTTGCCCCCATAAGAAAAGTAACTGTGCTGTTTGGCTTCCTTGTTCTCAGGTAATTTTATCTTTATAATCTGCGTATTCTGAATAGCTCTTCTGAACACCTTCTTGTTATCTAGACTGGAGCTTCCCAGTTCATAAATTGCTACTAAAAGCCAACCAGATACCAAAATTAAGGTCTGTGAAATTTTCTTGTAACATACATGTGTCTAGACTTTTTCCCCTCTTTTAATAGATTTCTATGGTCTGAATTTATAAAATTTAATTTTACATTCAATTCTTGAAATTTTATTTCTTTGCTTCCCCACCACCCATGTTTTTGGCAGGTATAGCAATGCTACTTAGACATACCTGACAAGTGTCCTTCTTGTTACACTTATTTAGGTATCAATAGAAAGTAGTTTTTTGCACAAAGACACAGTTTTGTACTTACTGTACAATACCAAACTCTTCTGCAAACTGATTTTAATAGATACCCAGTGATAGTTCATGATATTTACATTTCTTCAATGTTAGCAGTGTTTGGTAATGTCAGACTTACTGAGTCTCATCAATCTGATTGGTTTCATTTGCGTTTGTATTTTCTTGATGGAAAACAAGATTCTTTTAAAAATTTTTAGTTTGTTTTTGCAATTTTGATTTCAAGTTGGCATACAAGAATTTTGCCTTTTTGGGTTTTAAATCTCTCCATGTTAGTACTTATTGAACTCATTTATTATTTATAGGTTAACACTTTAAAAGTTATACATGGCTCAATAGCTTCTTATGTGTTTTCTGCTCGTTTCAATTTTTATGTTTTTTTTAAATATAAAAGAAGCCTGCTATTACCATATAGTTTGTGTATATGCTGTGGTAATTTTTGTATTTGGATTGAGAACTCCAGGGGTGTTGCAAGGCAGGCCAAATAAATAGTTTTTTGAAATGTGAAATAAAATGGAGTCACTTATGTTAAGGGGTTTAAATTGAAGCTGGGAAGGTATTAATTACCTGCAACTCCTCACCTGCTGAAAGCATGAACTTTCAATCTGGGTTAACCTGTAAATATTCCAAGGACTCTTCAAGAACGCCTGCAACTTGTCACAAAATGAACAATTACTTCGCCCTAGTGACAGCCTTAGCCTCAACCATGTTCCGCCAAGACTAGCTTCAGCCTCCAACTCTGATTAAAGTTTTTTGTAATTCAAACCTCTTTTTGTCTCTAAAGGTTCTGAATTTACTTTTTAGCTGGACACCTTTCGGGTTGCCAATTGAATGTGTGCCCCGATTTGCAGTTCCTTGGTCCCAATTAAATGAGTTGAGCATGGTTATTATCTCTCAGGTTTATTTATGCCAACACCATCAACGTTAGACCTCGTTACCTAATTTTATGTATTTACTTTTTTTTAGCGAATAATAAAGATGCTTTGTGGCATATAATTCCCCTTTTAATTTCAAAATCTTATTGACATGGCTTTTCCTGTCAATTCTTACAAGATTCACATAAAAAACAAAAAACAAGGGCTGTGGTGTCTCAGTCTTTTCATACCTGGAATACTTTTTTCCAATCTCCTATCAATTTTTATGTTGAGAAATGTGACTTAAGTCAGACTTTTATAAAGATTTTACATATAGGCTTTGCTGAGTCTATTTTGATACGCGTGTAACGGTCCTGCCCACAGGGACTCGGCCCATTCCTGTCCCCGACGTTGGGGAAGGGCCTCACACGCACCTCAATCTGCGGGGCGAAGGGAACTACATTACCCAGAAGGTTGTGCGCGGACGCCCTGCCCTCTACTCCAATGACGGCCCCTAATTGGGATATTTCCGTGAATATTAAATAGGACGAGGCGGGACTTCCGGCGTCTTTCTAACGGCAGTCGTCTGGTTGCTTATTACCGCCGGTTGTGGGATCTGGGGCTCTGGATCATTGGGTCTCGCTGAAGTAACGGAACCCGGAAAGGTTCCGAGGGGGCACTGTCCACACTGCACAGGAGTGAGCGGGTTGCGGAATCTACTTCCGGGATTTTCACCTCAGGTGTCCGCCATTATCCCGCGTGTCTCCTGGCCCCACGGACCCCAGAGGGTCCTATGGCAACCGGCGCGCTGACGGACCGGCCCAGGTGACTTGCTCCCCAGATCCAGGGCTGATCGTCAGGCCCCCAGTGAGGGCTCCTGCTCAAGGCCCTGCGGGTCAGGACTCTGTTTCCAGAACAGGAGGTGTGCACGTGTGGTGGCCCCGCTGCTGACTGGCGATGTGATGAGTGCGGACAGTGTTAACAGCGGTGGACCCAGCGCGTGCAACGCCTTGGCGGTGCAGGTTAGTCCGGGAGCATTCGGGAAACCGGGGTGGGAGTCCTTTCTGCAGGGAGCAGAGAATTTAAGGAGGAGTCAACAGTCTGGGCCAATAGTGTGAAGATTCTGGGAGCCATGGAGAGTTGTGAATAAATCAGAAACACAGTCTGAGCTAGAGTTGGGAAAGTATTTCAAAGGCTGCTCAGACGAGAACAGACTAGGGAAGGCGATGAGGGTGGAAGCAGGGAGAGCCGACTGCGTTAGACTCGGAAGAATACGGTGGTTTCTGGACCAGAGTGGTGGCTGTGGAAGTTGTTGACCTGAAACAAATAGACTGCCCGCGATTTCTCCTGCAAGGATGGTTTTTGGGGGGGAATCATCAGGGAATATTGAAATTGGGATGTGCTGCCAGGGTTAGCGAACACTGTCATAGAAATTTTAAAAAGGAAGTTAGAAGGGCTGTAGTCAGTGAAGCGTCCTCGGCTTTCATTGGCCGAGTCCTTTCCAGGGAAGAGAGCCCTTCTTCCTTCGGGATTCCGCTATTGTCTGAGGTCAGTGAGGGCTCACCCTTCTGGCGTGCCAACTCTAATTGAGGTTTCTGTTCATTAATTTTTACAAAGGAATGTAAGTAATTAGATTCCAACAAACCTGGAAGATAATTGGCAGGATTTCCTGGTGCAGTGACTGTGGCTCTGAGATCAAGGACAGAGTGAAAACAGTTAGGGTTTTCATTTGGCTGAGTGTTTGAAAGCCTTGAGATTGAGAAACTGATGTGGAAAGTCGGTTTCTGGGGGAGATTAAAAGGTGAATTTGGGACATGCTGTTTCTGAGATCCCAAAGTTGAGGTAACATATAGGCTGCTGGAATCCATAGTCTGGAATTGAGGCGGGGGGACGTCGCTGACTCAGTGATGTCCATGTGCTGACAGCCTAAGTCCTGGATTGGGGGGCCAAGTCTGGACCTCAAGTTGGGGGAAAGTCCTGTCACTTTTCTGTGAGCTGAAACCCTCTCATCTGTGAGATGAGAGAAGGGAGACCTGGGGCTGGAGGGCAGGGCCGAGTGGGTGGGACTTGCTGAGGCTGCCTGCAGATGGGAGGGTCCTGTGGTTCCAGGGCTTTCTGGGGAAGCAGGAGTGTAAGGAGTCGGGAGCCATGGCTGGGATGGAGATGGACAAGGAGGCGTGAGCTTGTGTAGATTCACTGCTCTGCACACCAAGCCGACTGTCCACTCCTTGTGGGGCCAGAAATGGGTCAGCCCCACTGGTGGGGCAGCCCAGGCCTGGTCACAGGCACGGGTGCCGCAGCTCCCCAGGAAACTGTAAGGTAAAGATGTAAAGATTTAAAACCCTGTGTAAGCAAGTAGTAATTGCTTAAAAGGACTATATATGTCTGTGTTATAATAACATATAGATGTTTAGCTTTTTCTTGGGCCCTTCACCTCAAAATCTGAACCCATTGGAGTTTTCTGGGAGTTGGGACTGTTTTTTGTTATTTACAACTAGCCCATTTTATACACAGCAGTTTATTATAACGAGGTGCCTTAGGGTCCGTCTCCTGTATATCCTCAGCTTGGGACTGGTCTCCAGAAAAATCAGGTGATTTGAAAGTTTAACTTTCATCACCATGAGGGGCCTCCCAAGAATCAGAGGGGAACTAGAAATTAGGTATAAAAGGTGCTGAACAGTGAAATTCAAAGAGCCTCTAAATTGGTGCACAGATTGAAATGATGGAGGTTCTGGGAGGGTGGCACGTACTGAAAGGGCCTGGAAACTGTCTGCTGCCCTCCACACCCCTACCTGGACCTAGGCCGCTCTTAGCCATTTGGCTGTATCCTGTAAGGTATCCAGTATAATAAATCAGAAAAAGTAAGAAAAGTATTTTCCTAATTTTTGTTGGTCCTTTTAGTAAATTATCAACACTGAGGTGAGATTCATAGGGAGGCCTGAATTTGTAGTCAGGTGGCACAGAAGTACTAGTAGCCTGGGGACCAGGGATCAAAACTGGTTCCTTAAAGGATGGCAGTCTTGTGGGACTGATTCCTCACACTTGGGACTCTCACGAATTTCAGTACTCTAGTAAGGAATAAACTATAGGGCACCCCAGTGGTGTCATAAAAGCAAAAAGTTGGTGGTTTAAAAGAGATATTTGGTCCCAGAATGCCTTGAAAAACATGTAAGAAAAAACTAATTTCAACAACATTTATGAAAATGTTAATCCTGTGTTCTGTAATTCCGTAGGTGAATCCTAGCATGGGAGACGCATTTTGAGGTGTACACAAAATTATGAGATGGGCGTCCTAAGTGTTGCCATTTCACACATGAAGACACTGAGTCTGAAGGAGGTTGAGCCTTTGTCCAGGGCCATAGAGTTGTCCAGGTATAGTGCTGAAGATAAAGGATCTGAGGTCAGCCAGAGGTCATTCATCTCCAATAAAAAGAAGAGAGGGAAAAGGTCAGCTTTAACATCCTCGTGATGATCACTTTGATCCCAGGTCTTCTTTCTTTGCACAGGTTGCCATGGTAGGAGCAACACCTGTGGTCCCTGTGCAGGTAAGGGGAAGAAGCCCCGGTTCCTACAGAAATGCCGTCCCTTCCCCTGGTCCTGGCACATGATCTGGAGACACTGTTGTCCTAGGTTCTGGGCCCTGGGGTCCCCTCAGGCCCAGGATCCTGGAGGTCAGAAGTGGTCCTGAGGTGTTTCCGTGTGTCTAGTGAAGAAGGTCAAATGGTGAGATGTCCCTGGGCACAGGGGCTGGCCTGTCCACATGTCTGGAGATGAGAGTGAGTTGGAAGAGCTCAGGGAGCAGCAGGACTCTGCTTCGTGGACTGATGAAAAGACTGAGGGCGGGACTCGCTCCTGGGACGGCAGCCTGGGGAGCTGGGGCTCTCCTGAGGGTGTGGGGGCCGTGCCGGGTTTGCAGCAGAGGGGGGAGTGGTCTGCCTCTGGGTCTGAAGAGGCTGCTCTGCCTGCCAAGGGGAGGAGATTGTGGGGGTGAGGGTGGAGCCAGGGAGACCCAGTGGAGGGACAGTCCTGGTGAAGGTCCACTGAGACTGGATCCCAGCAGTGGCTCTGTAGCAGGAGAGGAGGTTCGTTTCTGTCTCGTGTGTGAGTAAAGGTGACTTTCTGCTGTACAGGGTGAGGGACAGTGGCCTGACACGACCCCACGACGTGTGCCTTCAGGGGAGAGTGGAGATGCCGTTTCTGAGATGGGAAGCCAAAGTAGGAGTGGTTAACAGAAGTGCTAGCCAGAGTGCCGCATCGCCAGGCTGAGCGTGAGGTGTCGGGGGGCGAGTGGAAACACCTCTGGAGGTCAGGGAGGGCGGTCAGGCTTGAAGGTGCTCCTGAGCAGGTGGAGAGCACGTGGCCCAGGTCAGGTCTGAGCTCACAGGTCGTGGGGGCGATGGCATGAAGGTTGTGGGGGAGGAGGGTCTTCTCCGTGGACTGGCTCACTTGTTGGGCAGTGGGACAGGGGTGGGTGTCATCACTGACGGATGCGTAGGTACAGTGACCATGAGTGTGTGTGCTGGGGCTGTGAGGGCCTCAGGTGCATCCTGGTCGCGGCACAGGATCCTAAGGGGTGGAGAAGGAACTACTGAGAGGGACCCGGAGGTGAGGCCTGGGGCATTATCTCCCCTCCGCAGGCTCGGGTTTGTGGTAAGTGCTGCTGGAGCCTGAAGACTGTCAGACTGGCTGGCCTGTGCTGAGGGGGTGTGGGGAACACAGTGAGACGCCCGGGGCCTGGAGCAGAGGTGGCAGTGTTGGGGTGGGGGTGGGGGTCATGGTCTGCGGGTGCGGGAGGTGAGATCCTCCCCGCTGGGCCGTGGGGAGGGAGTGTGAGGATGACTCGGGGCCCTTGTGCTCAGGTTTCCTCCAGGAGGCTGAGTGCCAGTGTCATGGTTGGTGGCTCGGTCTGTGTGATCCCAGGAGAGCCGAGCGGAAGGAGAGTAACTGGGCGGGTGTGCGGCAGCCCAGAGCACCTGTGAGACCGCCCCTCCCTCTCTGGCTTAACTGAATGATCTGAAGATGGCGGTCTCTGTGGCATCAGTCTCCACTCTGAGGGGGGCCCTGGGTGGACACCCATGACCTGGGGTCCTGGTTCCAGAGGCTGCCGTGAACTCACCTGTCCCCCTCCTGACAGGGCCCTGTGACCTTTGAGGATGTGGCTGTGTCCTTCTCCCAGGAGGAGTGGGGGCTCCTTAGTGATGCTCAGAGGCTGCTGTACCACGACGTGATGCTGGACACCTTGTCCCTTCTAGCCTCCCTGGGTAAGGCCCCGCGTTCCCACGCCCTCCCCTGTGCTGGGCTCCGCCTTCTTTCTGCGTGACACCCCCGCCCCCCGCCTTCCCAGCCTGGACCGTGGGCGCTGCTGACTCCCTGATGTCCTGGCATTTGGCTGTTTCCCCATCCTGTGTGCGCGCCGTGTCCCCGGAAGCCGTTCGCAGAAGGCGCTGGGCTCCGAGGCTGGAAGCCTGCGCGTCCGCCTCCAGTTTGTCTCCCCGCTGCTGCCGCGCTGAGTGTGGAGACGTGGGGGGGGGGGGTCTGCATCACAGGCTCCGCCTCCTGTTCTGTGCCCTGCCTGCCCCCTGGGTCCCAGATACTTACCGCTGAGCATTTGTGGTCCACACACACTCTTGTTTTTCAGTATTCTCCCCACGGTTCCTACAGCAGTAAATATCTTTCCTCCAGTCTGTCATTGGTTGATTCCCTCTGGGCCAGTGTCTTTCTCATAGTGGCCCTGTTTTCCTGTGAGGACTTGGATCTGGTAGGTTCCACGGCCACCCATCCTGAGCTGAGGGGTGGAGGCAGCCCTGGGTGCCTGACGAGGCAGACACCTCTCTAGACACAGGAAGAGGGTTGACTGGATCCGGGGCTGTGAAGAGGAGCTGTAGGAAGGCGTGGCAGCATCCGTCAGCCTCATCCTACAAGCAGATGTCCTTTGCTCTCCCCTGATTTAGTGCCAAGACTCAACGATTGGCATACTTCATTTCTTTCTTCCTTTCCTCCTCATTTTGACAGTTTGCCCACTTTTCACTTCTGTGCTTTCTGACCCCTGTCTCCTTCCTCCCTTAGCGTCCTCCACATCTCTGTTTTGCCCTCTCTTCAGGGTTCTCCAACATGATGCGTTTCATCTATTGCACATGTCTGTGTGTGATGTTTTTTGAGAGGTGCGTGTTTACGTATGTGGTCCTCAAACACTGGGTCGCCAGGTAAGATTGCATTTTTGTGGAGGCCGACACACATTCTATGTGCACACACTTGTCACCACCAAACCCTGGTAAACACCACTGGCCAAGGAGTGGGTTGTTCCAGGCCTCTCCTCCTGGCAAGCACTGTATCCCGGTATCCAGGTTCTTGCTGGTCTGAGACATTTCCCATCCCGTGACCATCAGAAGGCAAGCACTGCACAGTGCCCTCCTGTGCTACTTGATCCTTCCTCCCTTGTGTCGAAAACAAGCCCACTGACCTATGTGTCATGCACAGAGTTGTAATGGGCTCCTGTTGCACCAACGTCTCCCTTCAGCTTTTCAGCACTTTTTGTGCTTTCAGGTTGTTGGCCTGGAGTACACGCTGAGGTGGTCACTTCTGAGCAAGGTGTTTCTGTAGAACAAGTGGCACAAGCCAGGAGTCCAAAGCCAGACCCATCCACCCTGAAGACTCGTACGTCCGATACGTGTGTCCTGGTAGAGACAGATGTTTCATACCTGGCCGAGCACCAAGGAGTCCCTCCTGGTCTGGAGCCACCCTCTCCTGGGGCCTCTGGGGAAATGTTCAGTTCTTACCTAGAGCAGCAGCAGAAGCAGCCCAGGGGAGAGAAACACCTCACAGGGGAGGAGAGCAGAGCCTTGCTCGTGACCAGCTGCAGAGCGCGTGTATCCGACAGCATGTTCACATGCAGGGAGGGCGAGAAGGATTTCCTAGGCACCCTGGACTTTCTCCAGCACCAGCCCTGCCACAGTGGAGAGCACCCACGTCGAAGCAGGAAGAGCAGGGAGGTCTCCCACCCTGAGCAAGGGCATTACAAGTGCAGCGACTGTGGCAGAGCCTTCAATAAAAAGTATAAATTTACGGAGCACCTGAGAGTTCACACTGGAGAAAAACCTTATGAGTGCAGTGACTGCGGGAAGTTCTTCAGACTCAGGGGGGGTCTTACTCATCATCGGAGAGTTCACACAGGGGATAAGCCTTTTGACTGTAGTAAATGTGGGAAAGTCTTCCTGTACAAATGTAAACTTGTTGAGCACCAAAGAGTCCACACTGGAGAAAGACCCTATGAGTGTAACGAATGTGGGAGAGCCTATGCCCGCAAGGATTCACTGGTTCAGCACCAAAAAGTCCACACTGGAGAGAAACCTCATACCTGCAGTGAATGTGGGAAGCCCTTCCTTTACAGAAATAAACTTCTCGTGCACCAGAGGATCCACACTGGAGAAAAGCCTTTTAAGTGTAAGGAATGTGGGAAGTCCTTCAGTTACAAAACAAGTCTCATTGTCCACCAGAGAACCCACACTGGAGAACGGCCTTACGTGTGCAGTGAGTGTGGGAAAGCCTATGTCAACAAGAAAAGTCTTGTTGTCCACCAGAGAATTCATACTGGAGAGAGGGCTTACGAGTGTAGCAAATGTGGGAACTTCTTTACAAGCAACTTTGCCTTCAATAAACACCAGAACGTTCATGCTGCACGAAGGCGTTACGAGTGCAGTGAGTGTGGGAAAGCTTTCAAGAGGAAAATCAGACTTATTGAGCACCGCAGGATCCACACTGGAGAAAGGCCCTACGAGTGCAACGAATGTGGGAAAGCCTTCAAGCTCAAGAATACCCTTGTTGGCCACCAGAATGTCCACACTGGAGCAAAGCCTTTCCAGTGCGGTGAGTGTGGGAAGCCCTACAGCAACAAAACGAGCCTTGTTGTCCACCAGAGAATTCACACTGGAGTAAAGCCTTTCCAGTGCGGTGAGTGTGGGAAGCCCTACAGCTACAGGACGAGTCTGATTGTCCACCAGAGGATCCACACTGCAGGAAAGTCTTCCGAGTGCGGTTCTTTGTAGGCAGCTCCTAAGTGCATGATAAACAAGGGATTTCACACTGGGGAGATGCCTTCTGGACTGAGCTTTCCTGCGCTTGAGTTAATACCTAGCAGCACAGTCCCTGGGTCGTAGAGTAGGTGCCTGTTCCCCTTCTGTGGGGCCCGTCACACATTCCTAAAGTGGCAGTGTCCTTGTACAGTCTCACCAGAACAGCCAGAGCCTGAGTTCCCGTGCTTGACGTTCTCACCAGCACTTGGTGTGGTTAGGCTTTCTAACATCAGTGACATCATAGGTGTACGGTGGTAGCAAGTGATTTAAATTTGCATTTCTCTAACGAGATGGTATTGAGTGGTCTTCCCTGTGTTAATTCCCAACCATGTATCATTTTTGAAATGTCTGTTCATATCCTTTCTTGTGTTAATTACTGACTTTTGACATTTCTTCATGGATTATTCATCAAGGTTCTCTAATGGAAATATTTACCAATACATTCTTCCAGAATTGGGTTTGCCGTTTCAGTCGATTTTCTAGGAAAATATTTTTAATTTCAGTGTAGTCTAATTTGTCCATTTATTCTTCTGCTGATGATTCTTTTGGTGTTGTAAATAAGCAGCATTTTCCAAATATAAAGACACTGTTTCCTATGTTTCCTTCTGTAACTTGTATGGTTTAGGGTTTTTATTGATGTAAATGAATCATTTTCAGTTAATTTTAGAAGTTATTTTTTAAAAATATGGATACCCATTTATCGCAGTGATAGTGATTTAAAAGATTATACCTTTTCCCCTGAATTGCTCTAGTATCTTCATTGAAGGTCCATCAATTTAGGTATATGTTTATTTCTGGACTTTCTCTTCTGTTGCCTTTACCTACTGTGTTTATACCAGTGTTTTGATGTGCTGAGTAATTTGTTTTATATATGTCTTGAAATCAAAGTCATATACTCCGATTTTCTTTACTTTTCAAAGGCATTGTAGCCATTCTTGTTTCTTAGCCTTTCCATGTGAATTTTAGAGTCCAGTTTTCAGTTTGTACATCACAAAAAAATCTTCCTAGCAGCTTGATTGGGATTGCATTTAATCTTTAGTTTAGAAAGAAATACTGAGTGTCCCAGTCAATGAACATGATCTATTTCCTTTTATTTAGATCTGATTTAATTTTTCTTAGTAATGTTTTTTTAGATTTCTATTCACAGGTCTTGCATATGTATTTTCTACAACTGATGATTCTGTGAATAGGAATTTTAAACACTTTTTTTAATTTGTGAGTTGTTCAGTGCTAGGACTCTGAGCTATCAAAGTAAGGATAGACGTGATCCTTCTTAATCTTATAAGTGACATCTACAGAGAGCTGTTAGAAGTACTGTACCTTTGAACCATTATTAAAATACTTGCATTAGGATAAAATAAAAGGAGGACAGCTGCCCATTGCTCTCTTACACACTGCTGTCCTGGAGCTCCAGTTTCATTCAGTGATGCAAAATGACGAATATGCCGCAGTGGGAAAGGAAGAAATAAATCACCAAACTTACATCCTCATTTGTCATCTTCACTGAGTCCAAATGTGGACACTCAATTTAGTGCCTGAATCCATCATAAACTCCTAATTTTTTCATCACCCATATGCTGCCCTTCTTGCTTCCTTAGGACCCTTTCCCTTCTGTTAAACTATGCACTCAACATCATAGATGAGCTGCTCATTGTATTGTTCTAGCAAATACAGAGTAAGTTCCAGGAGGGAAATGTGTGTTTATATGTTGTGCACTGGTAGAGTCCATAATCCCAGAAAAAAGCCTGAAATACATATGGTACATATTGATGTCTAAAAATACGGGACAAACTATCAGCACAAATGTAACGTTCATTTGCGCATCTGTGAATATACTTCCTACACCTCTTCACACTGTCTTATTTCACTACCCTCAATGCTCTTCAGTTATGGGAAGAAACCATATTTTGCAAAAAGTGTTTAAATCAACTAAAAGGCTCCAACACCATTTTATTGGCTTCCTTCTCTTATTAGATCTCAGATTTTTTTCCTCACATTCCATCAGAATTTTGATTGTTTATTTCAAAAACCAGTTTTCCTGCATCAATGTGTGCCACTCCTGATGGGTATCTGTCTTATGAAGCATTTTTGATAGCTGTTGGTAGGTACACAGTCCCATGTTTTTCAGAGTTCATCTCCACTCCCCATGCAGACACTGTCAGTGCGCTTACAGGTGAAGTGTTAATCAGTTCCCCATGAACAGATGACATCATGGACTTACAAACCTTCATCACAGGCTTATATGTCACCCCTATTGCTCCCTTTCAGAGATGCTGCCATGGCAGTCCTTGTTCTGGGAGCAAATACACATTTGGTAAGTATCTCTTCAGCAATCTGATTGTTTGGAAATATTTATCTCAGGAAACCAAAGATTAACTGTTTTAAAACTAAATTTGGCTTCCTGAGGTTGGGACAATAGAAATAAAACCTTAGATAGATTAGATATACAGAAACAGAGATTTAGACAGACAGATAAGAAGAAACCCATAAAAACAGGAAAGGTTTGCTGAGGAAAGCAGAGGCATGTTGCCTGTCATCAGCCTGCTCCAGGAGTACCTGGCATCTCCCCTCTTTGCCTTGGAACTGGACTCACTGGATTCTCAGTAACCACACTGACTATAAAAGGGCTCACCCTCAAGGCTTCAAGCTAAGGTAGGTTGTGAGTAGTCAGATGAAGATGAGCTCCCACTCTGAATGGAAGCCTGGTGTCTGTGTGACGTCTGTTGATCAGGGACATGTTCCATGGAGCCTTTAATGGAGTCTCTACATTTCCATCCTTGGTGGAAGGCTGTTCATGGCACCTCACGTTCCTGGGTGTTCTCTTTATCGTACAAATCGACACACTGCCCTCCTGGGGCCTTGGCTTCCATTCCTATAAAAATGGATCCATTCTCCTCTCTTCTAACAGTCTATCACCTACTGATACATCTATCTGTGTCTTTTTATCTGTCATCTTTGCTTTACTGTAATTTCACCTCAACTGCATGTCCCGTTTATAATTTTTTTTAAACAGAAAATAAAAATTTGGACGAGAGACTCTCTTAGAAGAACAGACCCACCCTACATTCAATGAGAATTTAATTTAGACCCTTCCTGTGTCTACACAGACGCTTTGGGAAGTTACCAGTCATTGTCGGTGAGTCACTGCAGGTTGTCAGGAGTGGAGTGACCTGCAGCCTCAGCACTGCCATGGTTGCAGACACTCAGGTTTATGCAAACTTCCAGATTCCCACAGTCATTCTATTGACATTTGTTTTTGTTATTTAACCTCATCTTGAGTCTTCTCAAGATTCCTGGTTCATTCCTTTGTCCATTTCACTTCATTTTTTGATTTTTTAACCTACTTTCATTACACTGGTGGTATTTTTTACTTCCACTTTAAATAGTATAAGACTCATAATGTTTACTATTAATATTTTGGAAGGATCCATTTGTGTATAAAGTTAAATTCAATAAGGACATCAGTACACCACACTCCTCCCGCACACAGTCTGCAATCCAGGGAATGAACACTGTTCACAAATGGTGAGGATCCCTCCAGAGAGAAGTGACAATTTCTTCCAAATCCACACAAATGCTCAGTAAGATCTCTCTTCTCTTAATCCCAAATTAACTACTCTAAAGTGTACAACTTCTAGATTTGAATGAAAGATGCTGTTGGTGTAAAGGGGGTGATTCAAAAAATGGGATAAGTTTAAAGAAAACTATGTAAACCTGTACATATTCTGCACTCAAGAAAGGTTTAAATATCCCCTGCTTTTAACACCACCTTACATGAGCCTCAATATCTAAATTGTGTTTAATTAGTTACGGTTTGTGATTGGAAAGAAAAAATAGAAATTCAGCATCAGAGAATTATGACCCACAATATATTTTGGGAAATTAACATATCTTAGTGTTGAGAACCAATGGGAGAGTGTTTTCAGTTTCACTGGTATTTCTATCATTTGTGAAAGATGTCTGATGCACACATGAATGTCTGTTAAGTACTGCCTATCCATGTACGTGCCCAGCATCTTTTTGGGTCCTTCAGAAATGTAATTACTATTGTTACTCAAGTTATTGGTAATAGATTCCTGTTCTATGTTCTGTAAATAAAAATGGAGGGCTAATTTTAATTTGTTTAATATAATTTATGAGTATTATTACAAAAATAATCTATGAATATTATTAGGAAATAAAATGGCCTCTAGTTTGGATCACGTGGAGCGGTGATTTCCTCAATCCAAAGTCATGAAAGCATGCTCCAACATACTTACTTAGAGACTTATCATTCTTTACATTTGAGATCTAGGGTGTCATTTACTTCTAATTGTGAAGGCCGAGTTTACTTCTATTTTATTGAATCTCTGTTTTATGGTACAAATATTTAAATATCACGTAATAAAGGATTTCTCAAGATGTTGATAATTTATCTTTACCAGGAAAACTATATCCATTGACGTGTGTGTGATTTGTTTTAGATGCTCCCTGTTCTGTGCCACTGAGTAGTGTGTTTTTTATTTTCAGTATAAAGGAGTAACTAACACCCATTGCTTTTGAGATTTCTGGTTTTAAAATTCTGACTATTTTATATTTACTTGGGAAATGTTAGAAATATTACATGTTTCTAACTTTAAACGTTGGAAATATTTCCCAAAATAAGTATTATCAAAATATGAGTATTGGGATTACGTTAAAGAAGAAACTTTGATTGTAAAAACTGTTTGCCATGTTTGCTTGGGCTACAGTTTGTCTCTGCTGTTATTTTTGATCTTCGTATTTTAATAGAGTTTTAAAGTTTGCTTGTTTTTTAAGTTACCTAATTTTAGTGTTACTTTGCCAAATGTTAATAGGATTATTATTTTTTTAAATGTCTCAGTATTGATGCAATTGCCAAAATGTGATATGGAAAACACTTTAAAGTACCTTTGGAGAAATGTTTGCACCGTATAGATCCCTTGGATTTTTTAATTGAAATATTTCTTGTGAAAAGAAGTGGTTCACATGCAGTGGTAAGAGAACACAGAGAGATGCTGTGTGTAGTTTGCCCAGTGCTCCCAAGGGTGACACTTCGCAGGACTATGTTATGACACAACTAAGAATGATATTGGCGTTGACCCTGCCACCTGATCTTACTCAGATCGCCCTGTTTGCTCCTGTGCTCAGATGTGTGTGTTTATCCCTCTGGGTCTTAAAGCCACTTTATTTGTCCTGGGACCTCATCAAGGGTACACACACTTTCTTCCATTTTTGTTTTGATTTTATGGATTTTAAAATTCCATTTTGATTGAACATTGTTTAAACATTATGGAAAATACTTAAATTGGTACAGAGTAAAAACTATAGCACAGGAAAATGTCCTCATGTTCGTTCCTGTCCTTCCAAACTATTAAATCTCTGTCCCTAAATTTTACTCTTCTACTTGACTCAAAACAGTATATTTTGTATACTCTTCTGGACTATAGTTTTTCACTTAAGAAATACTGTGGTAAGGGAGCCCTTGACACTGTTGGTGGAATGTAAATTGGTGCAGCCACTGTGGAACACAGTATGGCAGTTTCTCAAAAAGCTAAAAATAGAACTACCATATGACCCAGCAATCCCACCCCTGGACATGTATCTGGAAAGAACACAAACACTAGTTCAAAAAGATACAGGAACCCTAATATTCATAGCATCATCATTTACAATTGTCAAGATACGGAAGCAGCCTGAGTGTCTATCAACAAATGAATGGATAAAGATGTTTTTATATACAATGGAATACTACTCAGCCATAAAAAACAATGACATTTTGCCGTTTGCAACAAGGATAGACTGGGAGGGTATTATGCTAAGTGAAATAAGTTATACAGAGAAAGGCATACTGTATGATATCACTTATATGCAATCTAAAAAATAAAACTAACAAATATAACAAAAAAACCAAAAGTCTCACAGATACAGAGAACAAACTAGTGATTACCAGAGGTGAGAAGGCAAGATGGGGTGGGAGATTAAGAGGTACAAACTGCTGTGTATAAAATAAATAAGCTACACAAGGATACGTGTGCAGCACAGGGAATACAGCCAGCATTTTATACTAAATGTAACTGGAATACAACCTTTAAAAATTGTGAATCACTATGTTGTACACTTGAAACATATAAGATTGTACATCAAAGATAAATAGATATCTCTCAGCCTGCCCCCAAGCTCTGCCAGTGAACTTGCTTTTTTATTACTGCACAGTGGGTACAGGGGTCTCCTCCTGCACCGTCTGTCTCCTTAGTGGATTCCAGGTCATTAAGCTGAGTGCTAGTATTTGTAGCTGGGTGTAACTCAAGATTAAGTCCCAAAGTTCATTGGCTTCTGTTGTTTCTTGTGCTGGATCCTACATTTCTTGACAGATGTACGTGTTCCTATAATTGTGAGTGGTCTGCTGAATTGCAAAACCTTAGTGTAAAAATTGATGATGGATTCGGCAGCTGGAACGGGACGGGAAGACTGCACATGACGTGCAGTCCTATGTCGTTCCCAGACTGCTGGTCTGAGCTTCAGGTTTGGGCCGGTAGCTGCATGATCTCTGTCCTGCACAAACACAAGCTGCAAAGCCAACGGAGCTGCAGCAACAGCGGCGCCCTGGGCCTCCCGGGAGCCCAGAGCCACACACGCGCCGCTGTTTCGCTGAGCTCCTTCGGTGCTTTCTGTCCAACCTGTGCTGTTCTGACTGTCGCGATGACTCTGGCTGCAAAGCCAGGCCAAGGAACAGTGAACAGCTCTGAGCTCATTACAGCTCTGTGCTCATGCCTCATGCTTTCTAGCATTCGGCCCCTTTGTGCGCAGAGTGAGTTCCGCTTTGTCTGTGCACGTGGAGAAACTGTCTTCCTGATGCAATTGTAGTCTGTTTGTTTTCTTTCTGGCACGCAGTCATTTCAACATTTGTTAATATTTGGTTAACTATTACATGCCACGGATTGTTGATGCCATGGAAAATCAGGCCAGTGGTGTCCCTGACCACATGAATCTTTACCAAAGAGCTAAAAATGAACATATTTTCTTAATTATGTGAAGAATATACAATCCAACTATGTGGGGCTGACAAGCGGAGAAGTTCAGGGGATTCTGAAATACTGTAATAGAATGAAAATTCTAAGTTTAGGGAATTAGGAGACATCTGTCACTTTAAGTCTTATGAAGATACATGGAGATTTTTTCATATATATGTATATGTAATAGAAAAGAACAAATCTGTCTCCATATTAGATCTGTTCCTGTGGATTTAGCCCTGTGCTCTATTTTCTAGACTTTGTTTTGCTGGTTCTGCATCTTTTGTAAAAGAATGTTGTCTACAGCCTGAAATGTACAGGAGACCCCATTCTCAAGGCTCTGATGTTTGAGGATATTAACACTTTTCCACACATATAAAGTTAAGTTGCAGAATAGAAAATAATGTTTTTGTTGGAGGTTTTACAGGGACACCATGACCTGACCCACATGGGTAGTTGCAATAACAAAGGATTCCAAGAACAAAGAATTACAACACCAAGAAGTTTGCAACAGCCAAGAACACCCTCTCCCCTTTTTAGTATAAAAGGAGCCTAAATTCTGACTTGGTGAAGAGTGTTCTCCAGGACATGAGACTGCCATCTTCTCAGTCTACGGCTTCCCAAATAAAATCACTATGCCTTGCGTCTCCTGATTTACTGGTCTGTTGTGTAGTGAGCAGAACAAGTTTGGACTAGGTAATGTGTGTGTGTGTGTGTATTACTAAGCCAATAAAAAAGAACGAAATAATGCCATTTGCAGCAACATGGATGGACCTGGAGATCATCATTCTAAGTGAAATAAGCCAGAAAGAGAAAGCAAAATACCATATGATACCACTCATAGGCTGAATAGAAAGAAAGGAAGGAAGGAAGGAAAGAAAGAAAGAAAGAAAGAAAGAAAGAAAGAAAGAAAGAAAGAAAGAAAGAAGGAAAAAAATAGGACATGAATGAATTCATCTACAAAGCAAACAGATTCACAGACATAGTAAACAATCTTACGGTTACTGGGGGAAAGCGGGTGGGAAGGGATAAATCTGGGTGTTTGAAATTTGCAAATGTTAACCACTATATATAAAAATAGATTTAAAAATTTCTTCTGTATAGCACAAGGAACTATACTTGAATATCTCGTAATAACCTTTAATGAAAAAGAATGTGAAAATCAATATATGTACGTATTGCATGACTGGGACACTGCGATACACCAGAGATTGACACATTGTAAGGAGCTATACTTCAACTAAAAAAAAATATATATATATATATATTTTAATATATAATTAATAAAAATATAATTTAATGAAAATTATACATTTTAATTGAAGTAAGTATAGTCAAAATACATGGACAAAAGTCTTCTCGAGCAACAGAATGCAAAGAAACAATAAGGAAGGGACTAAAAATAACTGTGTGTATGCACAGTTGTGGCAAATTATGAAGAAGATACAGAAATTCCAAAAACCACGTGTGGCCGGTGAGGCTGGGGCACAGCAAAGGGGTCAGGGCAGGAGATGAGGCCGCCCGGACGCGGGCGCCAGGGGAGCAGGGGCTCCAGGCCACAGCAGGGAATACGGCTTCCACCCTAAGTCGGGGCTGCCCAGCTAACCCTAGTGACGTCAAAGACTTCCCATTCTGTATGGCTTCCTCTTCTGGTTTATTTTCTATTCCTGGTTAGTCATTTTTCTTTTCTTTTCTTTTCTTTACTTTTTAACATTTTTTATTGATTTACAATCATTCTACAATGTTGTGTCAAATTCCAGTGTCCAGCACAATCCCTCAGTCATCCATGGACATATACACACTCATTGTCACATTTTTTTCTCTGCGAGCCATCACAACATTTTGCGTATATTTCCCTGTGCTATACAGTGTAACCTCGTTCATCCATTCCACAATCTTAAAATCCCAGTCCATCCCCCTAGTCATTTTTCTTTTAAATTGCATCTGGTGACAGTGTGTTGACGACAGATGGGAAGGAGTGGGCCGGGTGGGGGCGGCCAGGTCCTTCCCCGGAGGCAGCTGGGGGAGGGTCGAGGCGGGGATGTGCCCTGACGCGAGGAACGTGGTTGTAACGCGCTCCCTCTTGTGGCCACGTAGCGAATAGACTGAAGAGACTAGACCTGGACCATCCAAGGGCGAGAGGCTGAGGGCTGGGCTGATGAAATAAAATTTATTTTTGAAGGCAGGACGAGAACATGTAAGCATAAATTCTGTGTGTCTCTTTGGGCCTCGTCTGTCCCTAGTTAGTGTGCGTCTGCATTAACCAGACCCCTTCAAAGATGAGATGTCTGCTCCACCCTGGAGATAAACGTTTTTCCCTTTCTTCTGACACTAGCAAAGTAACTTCTTAAAGGATTAGCATTTTCCCCCCAACTCCGCAGAGGGTCACGGTGACTTTCTGCTTGCTTTGTACCTGCTTACCTGGAGTATGTATCCTTGGTGAACATTCTGTAAAATGTCTGTACGTCATTTTGATGTACGATCCTTTGTCTCATAAGTGTACATGGCTATGCTTTCCACTTCTGAGAGGCGGAACAGTTCTCAGAGCGTCTGACAGTTGTCTCCTGGCTTATAATCCTCAGTGTGGCTTGAGCAGAATTCTCCTTTTTCCTCAACTTGATTGTGAACTGACGTTTCGTTGGCAGGACTGAGGGTTCTGGCAGCGGACGGGTGAACAGGGGTTTGATTCTGGTATAATTGAGCAGAGGACAGACAGACAGTGACTAGGCTGCAGCACAGGGTCCCTTTCTGGTCAAATACATCCTTTCACTCCCCATTCTCTC